ATGACAAGATAAGAGGATACAATAAACCACAAAGAAGAAAAATCATTTTCTGGCCTCGTGAAAGTTCTGGGCTTCGCGTTTCTTGGACACTGCACGAGCATCACCTCGGTGGCATGGGTTTAAGGGGAATAAACTGTTAAATTAAGGGTGGGTTTAAAAAGCAAACGATTGTTTGAGGAAATGGCCTGTATAACTGTAGCCCTGGAATTAGGACCTGAGTGATGATTTGTGTCACTTATAAAAAGTGAAATGGTGTGGAGTGGGGGGGCAGGGGCTAGGGAAAGTCTTGGTCCCAGTAGAATATATTCAATATTATGGCCCCTCCATTAGTTTGGGCAACAGGAGTGGACAAACCAGTTTTATTAATAAAGATGTTCCTCCGTTATGACACTTCATAAAGCCTCAAGCATCCAGCGCTCCCGAAGCCTTCGGGAGAGGAGCGGAAGAGGCAGGGCTGTCGGAGAGGCACGTCTATCCGCCAACCCCCGTTTCACGCTGCCAGCTCGCCGGCCCAACTCGGCCATCACCCTGCGAAGGGTTTAACGCAGTTTTATAAGGGAGGATACAGAGCCAGACGGAGCCACTTCCCTCTGCCACCGCTAGCTCCCGGTAACGAAGCAGCACCAGAGCACCCGAAGCCCCCACCTCCCGTCAGACCTTTGCTCTAGATGCCTTAGACAGGACGGCCAAAGTTTTAATTACCTTGCGTTAATGAGTCAGAGCTGTCTCATTATGCAGACTTAGTTAGTACCTTTCAACTTTAATGGCAACGCTAAAGTTTACGGCTAACACTTGGTTGCGCTAAGGCTGCCTTTCATCACTCAGTATGTTTTAAATGGGATTAGAAGATTTTAATAATGATTAGCAGCGCACACCACCCCCAGATTAGTTTCACTTAGCAGATTCAATGAAAGCCTTACTTGAGGCATGGCTCTACGTCTTCTGCAGACATTTCGGAGGCAGGGGCTTGCCTCTACCTCCCTCCTTGCCTTCAGGCAGTGGCACAGGGGGGCACATCCCTGCTGGAGAAAAGCTCTTCTCCCTCTACAAGAGAGGGCCAGGGGGTCGGGGAAAAACGTGTCACCTGTCCTCTTTAAGAGAAGAAACCAGATCAATGACCTTGAGAAGAATCTTTTTTAAAAGCAGTATATGCAGCACATTTAGAAGTCAGCTGTGTCGCAGCAGACTCGCTGTTGGGAAGTGATCGTGTACAGAATCCAAAAATAACAACCATTAAAGACCTAGCAACCAAAACATGTTTACATAGCCACTGAAAGCCCACTAGCTGGGATGATACGGGGGGAACAGCAAGATCTGCTCATCTATTTTCGGTGGCCATTCCCTCTTCCCTCTCCTCACTTCCCTGAAAAGTTAGCTTTGCAGCCTTTTTCTACATAGAAACAGTGAAGGAAAAGGAGGAAAAAAGGACATACAGCGTAAAAGATGAGCTACAGAGGGAATGAAGCAGCTAATGGTTCCAATAAATTACACCGGGAAGCAAAATAATTTTTTTTTGCCTTTAAACTAAAGGGGGAAAATCACCACTGGCTTCACAGCAATTGTCTCCAGCCTCCTGTTCAACTTAGTTTGCTTCTGCTCTCCCTTCTCCTTCTCCCGTGACCTCCCGTGCTACTGCGTGTCTCAACGCAGCGTTTGCAAGAGGCAGAGCGCTAATTTTAGTGAGCGGAAAAGGACCGGGCGATTTGTCCCCATGCCCGCTGCCCCAGCTGACAGCGAAATCCAGGAGCCCGTCCCAATTTACTCAGGACCAAAGCAGCCTGTTCCCATGGGAGCAACTCACCAAAACCAGAACGCACCCCTCAAACAGGGGAATACCCAAAAGAGCAGGAATCTGCAGGGATAAAAACACGCCAATGGATTGGGCATGGGATCAAAGGTTTAGAAATAAGAGAAAGGAACGGAGACTCTGGAGCCACCGCGGTGAAAGGACCCAGCGAGCCGGGCGTTATCCCAAAAACGTTAACCCTGATAACCAAAGAGGCTCAACAGCCACCGATGCTCTCCCATTCAAATGGCTTTTTTCCTAAGCAAAATGCACCCAAAGGTCTTAAAGAATCAGAAAAAAAGGCTGAATCCTGCAAGGCAGTCTCCCTCTCCAGTCCCAGCCACAGTCTGGCTTGGTTTTGAGCTGGGAAAAAGCTTCCCGTGCTGTAAGCAATAACACAGCACCGCTTGGGCGTGGATTTGTGTGCCTGGGTGGGGGAAACAAAAAAAAAGAAAAATCAAATTACCTTCCAGAAAGCTCAAAACTCTGGATCGTACAGACTCTGATGGGAGCCATAGGCACTCAGCACCTGTGGGAAGGTCAGGATGTTTCTGCAGCAGATCACACACCCGTTTTGTCCCCCATGTTTGAAGACAAGGCTCTCGATCTCTAGGAATGAGGGAATGAACTGAGATAGGTGCAGTCCCCTCTGACCCTCGTTAAGGCTTCACTTTAACATGAGTCCACAGGAAGAAGCCATTTCTGATGGGATGACCCATGGCGGCTTGTCACGGGTCGGGGTTTAGCACCAAAAGGCAACACAAAGTGCTGGGGAAACAACGCAGCACGTGCTTCAGAGGTCGAGCCCGGCAGACAGCTGCTGGCCACCATCAGCCCCCCAACTTCAAATCTGGATTTATTTTTAAGATTCAAAGCTACCAATCGCGCTACCCTATCCAGCTCATCGCAGCGATCCAATTTTACTCCACTTGCCCCAGAAAGCACAGCTCACCGACCATTAATTTTAGCCAATGATCCTGCTACGATGATCTGTACGGCTCTCGGGTACCACTGCGCTTGCACAGCAGTACTGCTGCGTGTTAGTGGTGAGCAGGATTTGTAAAGGCTCTTAAAGACCTTTAACGTGAAGCTGATGTACAGAATAGAGGACAGGAAAAAAAAAATGCATGTAAGACACTAGGACTTACGGGGAGATGCTCGGAGCTCCGTGTATTTAGTTAGTCTGAAGAACTGTTAGGAGGTGACTTGATCAGTCAGTAAACACCTACAGACATCAGAAATTTGATAGGAAGGATCTTCTGTCTAACAAACAAAAATTAACGAGATCCACAGCCTGGAAGCTGCAGCTGAACAGGTTTAGACTGGAAATAAGGCATAATTTTTCCTTACCAGCGAGAGCAATTAACTATTAGAACAACTTAACCAAGGGCTGCGGTGAATTTTCCATCACTGGAAATATTTTAAATCAAGCTTGGATCATCATTATTTAATACATGCTCTGGTTTGAACAGGTATTGAAGGACGTTCTAGGAAACTGTGCACGAGGTCAGGTTAGATCACAATGAATCATACCGGTATGAATTACCCGGATTCTAACATTTCAATATTAACATGAAGAATTGTCAGAATTACCCATAAGCAGCAGTCTGGAACAGCGAAAGGAGGAAGCAACCACCTTTATATGTCATTTGTGGGAGATTGTGGGAGATTAAATTTAAATACATTGTTGTTTGCCTTAATTGCTTGTTTGAATCCGATTTTAAGGTTGTATGATTGAAGTCCTCACATCATTAAGTGCTCAAATACAGCTAATACATTTTATAAATGACTTGCACAATTTCACAGGCAAAGAAGTTCAAGATAAAAAGCAGCCTACAAAAAAAAAAAAGGGGGGGGGGGAAAGAGGAAGAAGATCACCTGCAAGTGGATAGAAAACGCTTCAGAAGAGACTAGCGCTAGAATGACCAAGAAGCTGAGAAGTCCTAACTGCGTATTTTTAAAGAGCCCCCGTCCCCAAGAGCTCCCAGATGAGATTTTTGACCCATTTCTGCACTATAAAAATAAATGCGTCACAGAATTCACCTGCAGTCTCAAAGGACGCACCCTCGGGATGCAGAATTATCTTTAATTTCAATTGAGAGACCCACAAGAGGCATTAAGATATTAAATACACTGAAGAATTGGGGGGAACGACAGGGGGAGTACCCTGGGATCGGTTAGAGCTCCCAAAGGCGTCACAGCCATAATAGTTTGGCAACCCGACATCCAACAGTGGCAGCCAGGAAAACAAAGTGCGTGCGCATCACTTAATATCTAATTAAAAGCCACAATTCCCCCCTCCCTTCCCCTGCAAAAAGCATCTTAGCATTTTGAGGCTCTAACGCTTCAGGACAGACAAACCCAGCTCTCCCCGGACTCTGCGCAGGGCTGTACTTCTGCGGAAAGCCCAGTCTCTAACAGCTCCCATTCAAACAGCCCCAGCAGTAATTGCACAATCCCCCGTTCCTCCCATTAATACGGTGCGTGAGCCGCCAAGACGCCGCACCGCCGAGCGCCAGAGAGACCCTAAGCTCGGCTTTGGGAAAGCACTAGCTTCACTGCAAAACTCCGCAAAACGCAATGGAAAGGTGCCTTCCCAGGCAGGCGAGCCTACGAGAACGGTTGCATGACTGAAAAGGGGATGTGACTCATTCAAAGCAATCATCGTTTGCCCTAGGAAAGCGAGCAAAAGTTTTGCAAGGCCGTAGCCAACTCTAGCATGCCCGTCCGTGGGGGAAAAAATCACAATGGGTCTTTTTTCTTTTTTTGCAAGCCCAAAATAGACTATGGCAGTTTGGGGTTCGCGTAACACAAACCATCAACTGTCACATTCTCAGCTGCTTTACAGAATATGCTATAGCAGCTAACTCATCCCGACCGAGAACGAGTATCTGTCCTTTGGTTAAATAGCCTTGAAAGAAGATGAGCAATGTTATCAGAAAACATTAACAGGAGATCAGCATGTTTTCTCTGGGCTGTGTGGGGCTCACGGAAAACACCAGCAGAATAACAATACGCCACAAAGCAAGGCAGATTTCATTACTTTGGAGTGCCTGCACTTGCTCATAACCTGGATTTACACACTGCAAATCCTCTGATCTGATTACCTCCAGTGATCACGTAAAACACCGGCTTTAAACTCTTTGCCTCAGTGATAAAACAGCCACTTTGATTCACAACGACACATTCACAATAAAGTATACTGTAAACGTACCTGTCCACAGCCGGGGGCATTGCACACAAACGGCCTGTCGTCTCCCATATTTCATGCAGCTGAGCTAAGCTGAGGAGAAAGGAGAGAAGAGGAAATTGTTAAATAAGCTAAAAAAATTAAAAATATCAAGAGCAGAAGCTGCCCTTTGCAGGGCTGTAATTAATCAACGCTGTGCTCGCAGGGAAGGAGGATCTCTTTGTGCCCTAGACACAATCAGGGAAGAGAAATTAATCCAACCCAAGTTTAAATAAGACTTCGGAGGGCCCAGTCGATTTTTCACATATGAAGAGAAAGCGCTGCATCGCAGCTAGCAGGGCTCATTGGGAACCGTGACAGTGAGACAGCGCGGGCCAGCGGGTGGGAAAGGAGCGGGAGTTTTCTGCGCCTGGGCTCCCACCACCACTTCTCTGAAGGGCCAAGGGACTTTCTGCATCTCAGTGTCACCACCTGCAAGACGAGGACGACGCTCATCTCCTGCAAAGGACCGCCTGGCGCAGCAAAGACCTGCGAAACATCCCCTAGGCGAAGGGTGTCGAGGGAGGGCACAGCCTGCTTCACCCTCCCTTAGTATTTACAGTAGAGAGCACAGACACATAAGCAAAGACAGTGACAATCTACAGGAAAAAAAAAACAAAGCGCGAGCAAGAAGCGATCAAATAAATCCAAGTCCTCTCTATGTACAAGTTATATTTTCAATGGGAGAGAACTAAAATTTGTCATTTAATTAATTAAGGGATTATAGGAGTGGTGCTCCGTTTTACAAGGCAATAATCTGGCTCCCTAGTGGGTAAACTACAAGGCTGATGGCAGGGGTAGTTTATCACAGATTATAGCTAAGGATAACAAAACACTCAGTCCTATTATGCTACAAGTGAAGCTATTCTTATTAATAAAAAATAAGAGTAAATAAAGTAACCCCCACCACCTCAAATTCAAGAAATAATGGTTCCCTCCACCCACTGATATTTTTATAGCAGGATTTTAAAAAGCTATAATAAAGCAAATGCTATCTCTTCAGGGGGTTTACTGCGCGAACATGTTCTGGCTGTTCATGTTGCTTCCAGCATCTCTTACTCCAAGTTCGGCACTTGGCTTCGGCGACGCACGTCAGCTTGCTACAGCCAAGAGCAGAAATGAAACCAGAACGCGGCCAAAACGCGTTCACGAAGACACAGGCTCTTTTAGTTAGCTTTTTGCATTTCTAACCGCTAATACGCGCACGCACACACACACTGAGCAGCAGCGAGAGGGTGGGGAGACTTGTTATTTTTAGGAGCTATATGAGAAAGCGCTCCAAGAATGCGACTTCGCAGCAGAGGGTGAATGCATGCGCTACAGAAAACACTCCCCTTTTGCTTTTATTGAAAGGACACGGGAATTAATTATTGTTTAATATGAGAAAAAAAAAAAAAGATTATTTTTCTATTACCATGTGCTAGGGCAGCGTGCAGCTATAAGAGGCGGCTACAAGAGGTGGAATTCCCCTCCCCGAGCGCTGGCTCAGCCGCAGCGCACAACGGCAACAACCAAAAGCTATGAGAAAGTGGCTGCCAGTTCTTCTCCCACAAAAAGGGGAGAGCCGTCCACAACACTAGACTATGTTTGGATTTATTAAGCAAAACTCCAGGGCCTATGCAAACACGAACTCACAAAGGATAAATAGCCCTCTCACAAATGGAACGGGCGAGCAGCCAAAATGCTCCCTAGCATAGGGCAAGCGTAATAATAAAGGCAATAAAGATGGCCAGGAACATCCACCCACCGCAGCAGTCCCCCAGAAAAGCCCACAGAAATGAAAGGGGGCTTGCAGGACTGGAGGGTGGCACAGCAGGAGACGACAGCAGCTCTGTATTGGAAGATTAAATCCTGGCGAAGGCTTGCCTTGAAGTGACGTGGGCGCAGATGACAGCAAGATGAATCTGAGTGAGAACATATTAAAACGATAGGACTCTTCGTACCATCCTTCTGAACTTCCACCAAAGCTCCAAACTGGGAGCTCAAACCCAAATACCGAGCAATTGCTCCTGCCTGCTAAACAACCGGGGATCTCACCTCCATCTCTCCACAACCAGCTGATCCTCCTCCTCCAAGAGGAATCTCCGTCAGGCCCTGAAGCAGCTGACTTACATGCATCTGCTGCATCCTAACAGCGGACAGACGAGCTGCTCTGAAGGCACAGAGAAGTCCAGGCTTCCTCAGAAGTTTTAACATTTAACAGTCTCTAGCAAGGAGGGATGAAGAGGTCAAACCTTCTCGTAATACCAAACCACTGCTCAGATCAACTCCCTGACACTGCAGAGAAGAGAAGCACAAAACTGATTAAACGCTTCTTATCACCTGCCCTCGAGGTCCAAAAATATTGCACCTAAACCTTCCAGTTAGCTGCACAAAGAGCTACAGCTCTGAATGAGTTGAGACACAGGGCTCAGTCCTTCATCACCCACTCCTAGCAGAGGGCAGCCCAATTACTACTCGTTCTGTAAGAAAATAATAAGAGAAATCAGACTAGACACAAAGGAAACATGAACTCGAGGACTGCTAGAGTTATTTTACCATCACCTTCGCAGTATGGCGGCTGGTAAAGACTACGATACCAGGACACAGACCGACTAAAAAAAGTCAACAACTGCTGTCTTGGGCAGCCTGGACCTTGTTTTTTCCCCTCCCACCAGTCTTGCTTTGTCCGTAAGAGACAAGGATCTGTCCCACAGCTCTCAGCACAGCCGAGGCTCCCGGGAGCCGCAGTCCGTGTTGTCTGTCAAGCTGAAGGTAGATGCGAGAGTCATTAGTTCCAGATTTCTTAATCCCTATTTAGTCAATGATTTGTGCGCGCTTTGACAAGTTGGTTACCGGCTTACAAAGCGAGGGGCACAAGTTGGCACTCGTGGGGGCTCAGGGGTTCGTGTTTGAATGGCGCTTTGACGACGTAAACAGCGCCAGGAACGACCATCCTTAGAGCTGGCAAGCTAAGCGCGGGGCCACGGGAGCCTGAAAGCTGCTCCCAGGCGTCCTCGCAGCCAGGTATGCTGGTGAACTGGTCTACAAAGGGAGCCTGGGGCATCGGTTTTTACAGCCTGTTTTCAAACTAACCACAAAAATCACAAGTCCTCTGCCAGTCCAGCGCCGCATTCAGCAATTGTCAAGCGCTTAAGCAGCTCCCAGTGAAGAGCTGCGGTACTGAGACAGCAGCAAAGTCACAAAACTTTAAAGGACAGTTGTAATGCCCCTTGCTGTCAAAGTCAGGCTGGTGCTGGAAGTGTTTGAAGACTGTTTAAATCACCCCCGTGCATTTAAACGCGGTTGTGTGGGATGAGGTTGGGGATGTGTTTATGTCATCAACAAACAAATCTTATTGTTAAACATGCAGCATAATTATTATGGAGGGAGACTGCTGTATTTCACAGGGCAGCCAACCCTATGCTTTTTTAATTAACACAGGTCAGAGATCTGTCCTTACTGCCGTCGCTTAAGCAGCTTGCTGCCTTCGCCAATATGAAGAACTTCAGGGTCTCTCTACCTCATATTTATGCTTCCGATGCATATAAAAGCTATTTCAGAAATTAAAGAAATGGATCAGCTGTCACTCCTGGGGCTTTGAGAACACTAACTGAAAGGGAGAGCAGGAAAACAAAACAAAAACCCAATGGCATTTCAGGCTGCCTGCCAGCTACTTCTGATAGCATTAACAAGCAGCTCTTAAAAAAAAAAAAAAAAAAAAAAAAAAAAACACGACACAAACACATGCAAACACCTCTTTTTTTTTGT